TTAAATCCACACAACCACCTAGAATATTATCACAGTTTGCGGTTTCAGTTAGCTAGAGATCCAGCCAGGTTCAGTACACAACTCTGGTCTCTCTTCCCCTTGAAGGCCACACCACCTCGTGTCTCTGGAATCTTTCGGGTGAGGTGAGCACATTCCTTCTCCTTCTCCTGGAAGAGCTTGCAGTTAAGATTCATGGGTCCTCTCCCTGTATCAAATTCCTTAGTTATATTCCATGCAAACCTAGAAAGGACTCTGAAGCAGCCCAAGGGCTGACCATGTTGCAAATTCAGACAAATATGCATCTGTGTTCTCAACACATGGGGCAATCATGGGAAGAAGAGCTGGATGCAGTGTTCCAGTCTTTCTCGTCGTGTTGGGCACGTCACTTACCATCCCACCTGGTTTCTTTCTCCATGAAAAGGAAACGATAGAACTCACGCTTGCTATGCTAACTTGTCTTCGGTTGCTGTGATAAATACCATGACCAAAATCAACCTAGAGAAAAAAGGGTGTAATTTCAGCCTGCACTTCCTGACTGCAGTCCATCACCAAAGGAACTCAAGGCAGGAATTCAAGCAGGAACTAAAGAAGATGCCGTGGAGGAACAATGTTTACTATCTCATTTACTGGATCCATGCTCGGCCAGCTTTCTTATACAGCTCAAACCCACCTGCTTAGGCATAGTGCCGCCCACAGAGGAGAGTGTCCCCCACATCAATCATCAGTCAAGACAGTTTCTTATAGACGTAGCCACAGGTCAATCTGATCAAGATAATATTGAGATTTCTTTGCAGGTGACTGTTAACTGTGTCGAGTTTACAATAAAAACTAACCAACACTTGTTCAAAGGTCAGAAATAGGTCAGTTACCGTCTCTGCCAACTGTTGCTCTTTTCAGACCTTATATATCTAAGGTCGTGGTTCTCAACCTGTGGGTCAAAATCCCTTTGGGGGGTTGAATGACCCTTTTACAGAGGTAACATGTCAAATATCCTACATATCAGATATTTACATTATAATCAAACAGTAGCAAAATTACAGTTATGAAGTAGCATGAAAATAATTTTATGGTTGAGGATCACCACAACATGAGGAGCTATATTAAAGTATCACAATATTTGGAAGGTTGAGAGGCACTGATTCAAGGTATATCAAATTGTGCTCTAAACCCCAAATTATGGGCCCAAAACTACCCTTTTAGAATGACTGAAGTAGAGGCTGGAGTAATGGCTCAGTGGTAAAGTATATTGTCTGCTGTTCCAGGGGACCCAGGCTCAATCCTCAGTACCCACATGACGGATCCCAACTGTCCCAGGAGTGCTACACACACCCACATGCACCCATAGATGTAAAACTAAAAACAAAAAAAACCTGAGAATGACAGTTACGTCTTTTGACAATATTTACCCAGCAAGAAGTTGATGTTGCTCTTGTACTTCTCATTTTTTGAGTTACCACCTCAGATCACATTTTAGCAGTTACTACAGGTGACCTTCCCCACTAACCATTCCCAACCTCTTGACCATTCCTCTGGTCTTCAGTCATTTGGGATCCCAATCCTTTTTACTTAGCTACATGACCAGTTCTCCAAACAACTGGGCTCAAAGCATCGTTCAACTTCTTTTCTGCCTTTCTCCATCTCTGTTTAACTCCAACCAATGACTCCCATTTCCAAGCTCAACTCAACTGCCCCACCCCTAAGATCTGCACAATCCCTTCCATGCCGTTCCATTCCCTTTCTCCAAGCTCCATAGACAGTTCTGGTTGGTCATTTCTTGGCTAGCCTAACCCCATCATAGTCTTCTTTGCTCAGCTGCTTCTGTGTTCCTTTGTCATTCCTACTAGATTATAAGCACCTTTAGAACAAGATCCAGGGCTGCCCCTTGCCATGGGTTCCAGCCATTGCTTCAGCCACACTGCCAAGACTGTTTATGCTGCCTTCTAAATCTTGGCCTCAGGCAACTTACCTTCATTTTTAAATCTATGCTCACTCACCTGAACCTAGTATATAGATGGCTTGTGAAAATTAAATGAGGCATTCCATGTAAAGTCCTTAACAAATACTTGCCACACTTCAGGTGTGTGGTAGAGATTAGATACTGCGATGTTTACAGTCAAGCTGACTTAACGAGTTTTTATTGGGTGTTATGTTGGTCTGCTTGGGCTATCATATGAAAACACCATAGACTAGATGGTGGAAGACAACATCCTGAGATAGCCGTTCTGGAGGCTGGGGTCTGGAAGGCGGCAAGGCTGCTGCCTAGTGAGGGGCCTCTTCATGGCTTGCAGATAGCTGCCTTCCTGGCATGTCCTTGCTTGGTGGAGAAAACACTCTCTTGCTCTCTCTTATTTGCTCCTCCACCACTTTCTTTTTGTTTGTTTGTTTGTTTGTTTTGTTTGTTTGTTTTTTCGCGACAGAGTTTCTCTGTGGTTTTGGAGCCTGTCCTGGAACTAGCTCTTGTAGACCAGGCTGGTCTCGAACTCACAGAGATCCGCCTGTCTCTGCCTCCCAAGTGCTGGGATTAAAGGCAGGCGCCACCACCGCCCGGCTCCTCCACCACTTTCTGTTCATCATAGTCTTCCTCTTAGTCTTCCTTCCTCTGCCCTAATCCAATATTAGAGCCTTGCCCATTCTCATGACCCATTCAGTCCTCAAAGCCTTATCTCTAAACCCTTCCTCTTGAGAGCTGGGTCTTCAGGAGATGCTTTTCGAGGAGACAGAATTCAGTCCATTGAAGGGACCTGTGCACTAAATGAAACAGTCTAGGCACATAGCTATGAACAAGACAGACAAAAGTCCCTGTTTACATCCTTTCTCCTGCAAAAAAGTAAGTTGGTATTTATAGACACAATTGTGCCCCCCAATTCCATAGTGTATGGTTTGTTTTTGTTTTTTGTTTTGTTGTTGTTGTTTGTTTGTTTTTTTGTTTTTGTTTTTTCGAGACAGGGTTTCTCTGTGGCTTTTGAGCCTGTCCTGGAACCAGCTCTTGTAGACCAGGCTAGCCTCAAACTCACAGAGATCTGCCTGCCTCTGCCTCCTGAGTGCTGGGATTAAAGGCATGCGCCACTACCACCCGGCCATAGTGCATGTTTATAACCTGTGGCGAGGGGGCTGGAGAGATGGCTCAGTGGTTGAGAGCGTTGCCTGCTCTTCCAAAGGTCCTAAGTTCAATTCCCAGCAGCCACATGGTGGCTCACAACCATCTGTAATAAAGTCTTGTGCCCTCTTCTGGCTTGCAGGCATACACACAGATAGACTATTGTATACATAACAAATAAATAAATAATAAAAAAAATAACCTGTGGCGATATCACATTACAATGGGAAAGGGGAATTCAGTTGCAGATAGGACTGAGTTTGCTAAACAGCTGACCTTCCCATGAAGAGAGAAACCTGGCTGGACCATGTTCATCATACAAGATTATATATTTTTTTAAAGATTTATTATGAATGTTCATGCATGTGTGCCTGCATGCGTTTATGTGCACTGTGCACGTGCAGGGGCCTGTGGGGTCAGAAGGGAGTGGGGTCTGATCTGCTGAAACTGGAGTTATGGGTGATTGTGAGCTGCTGGTAGTGGGTGCTGGGAATCAAATTCCAGTCCTCTGGAAGAGTAGCAAGTACTCTTAACTACCAAACCATCTCTCAACCCTGCTCCTGCTGGTTTTAGCCTTTAAGTTTCTGGCTTATTTTCTCCATAGAAAACTAACATGAGGAGGGAACAAAGTGTGTCAAATGGCAATTCATTATACGGAGAAAACTGGGGCAGGGCGTGTGGGTAGGGAATGGAAGCCCTCCAGGTAAAGCACCAGAGGGAAAAGGTCATCTCTTGAGCCCTGACTTGACAGGGAAATTGAGAAGACCATTCCAGGCAGAGTGCTTAGCAAGTACTAAGGCCCCGTGGCAGGAGCTTCCCAAACATTTGTGTGAGCCTAGAAAAGCATCAGACAGATAGAGACGTTTGTGATGGAGAGGCTAGTCAGAGTGAGAGGTGGAACTATTCTGTGTATATAATAAATGTGTGTATATATGATATCTATGGTATATACACATATTTCCACATTTATAGGAATATGTATATATATGTGTGTTGTGTATGTATGTATGATATATATGTGTGTGTGTGTGTGTAGTAGAAATTATGGAACACAATATCTAGTCATTTTATACTACCCAATCAGTATGCATTAAGATGTTTTATAAGAGAATAAAGGCATATAAACAAATTCACTTTATTTTTTCTCAGAAAGTCAGCTCATGTTTGAAGACATCTGTCCTGAACTAAGAATACATTTTAATAGCTGGTTTACTCTTAACGACCACCTTGCGAGGTAGGCATGACTTCCAAGCATTTCTTTTTCAACCATTTAAAGCAGTTTCTAAGGTGCGTCAGGCAGTCCAAGTCATTTTACAACAGTCAAAACATTTTGGAGAATATTAAATCCTTTGGCCCTTTCTGGGCACCTTCAAAAAAGTTTTTGTGGACTTTACTTAGGGATTCTTTTGATGTAAGAAAAAGCAGGACCAAAAGCAGCTTAGAGAGGAGAGAGTGTATGCGGCTTATGCGTTCTGATCATACTCCGTCATAAAGGGAAGTCAGAACAGGAACTCAAGGCAGTTACCTGGAAACAGGAACAGAAGCAGAAGCCATGGAGGAACGCGGCTCTGGCTCGCCTCTCACGGCTTGCTCTACCTTCTTTGTTAGACACCCCAGGACTACCTGCCTCAAATTGACACCACCCACAGTGGGCTGGGCCCTTCCACGTCAATCGTCAATCTTTAATCAAGAAAATGTTGGACAGACTTACCAATAAGCTATCTTATGGAGGTTTTTTTCTCTATTAAGATTTTCTCTTCCTAGGTTCGTGTCAAGTTGACAAAGTCCAACCAGGAAAAACATCATTTCTAGTCTGGCATCTTTCTACCTACGCTGGCCAGCGGATCAAAGTAGAGAGACTTAGATGGCACATTGTCTCGGGCCTTTGTGGAGATAAAGGATCCAAAGGGCAGCAAGACTCCTCTTGCGCCCACGAAGCTGCCTTTCCAGAGGAGGCCGCCAGGGGACTCCGCTCTGCGCCGAGGAACTTCAGTGGCGCCCCGGCGGGCTGCGCGGCGCGCTCGGTGCATGTGAGGGCCGCAGCGGAGCGGCGGCGGCTGCGTCTGGAGTCGCGCGTGCTGGCCAGAAAACCCCTCGCGTGGATCTGCCAACTGTCGCTGCTCGTGCCGGAGGAGCTCACTCTTTTTCTCCCGCTCCAGCTGCAGCTACCCGCGCGAAGGAAAACAGTAGGGCCCTCGGCTGAAGGTTAAAACCCCACGGTAAGTAACCCTTCCAAGAGCGGGCAGGCGGCTCAGTCCCGCAGCTTGCCGCTCCGGATTGTGCCCAGGAGGACCGAGGTGCGGGGCACACCTGAGGCGGATCAACCGCGCTGACGCGGGTACTCAACCCCCGTCCGCGAGCTTCCGGGGTTGGAGTCTGGTTTAGACCGGTGCGGGCTCCTTGGCTTCTCTATGCCTCCGGGTACGCACTTCCCGGGCTGGAACACGAGTCCAATTCCTAACCAGGGATCCTGGGCTTTGATTTAAAACACCCACTCCACCTCCTTTCCGGGTACAGATCTCACCCCGAACCCTTTCTGAATTCCAGATACGGGTAGAGTGCGCGTTGGCCTGAGGCGGTGGGAAGAGAAACTTTTTACGAAAGTGCATCTGTGCCGGGGGGACGCGGAGCAGCGTGGGGCTGCGTGGGGCTACAGTTCACCGTCTGGGGTTGTCCCCAGGCTACTGATGCCTCGTGAAGGGAGGGTCTTTAAGAACAAATAAATCTTGCTTAACTTTTGGGCCAACAACTGTCAAACATCTGGAATCGCAGCCCCTCCCTTTCCTGCACTAGAGAAGGTGAAAACTAAAACTTTGCTTTGATTTCTCCTCCCCAGCATGGACCCCCAGAGCTGAGTGGTTAGTGGTCAAGAATGGCTCCCGCCTCCTGAAGCGTGGCAGAGGCGCTAGACCACCCGGGGTCCCTCCCAACCCCCTTTGAGACCCCTCTGTAAGCCTTCCTCGCAGAGACGCGGCGACAGAGCCATTCTCATCTTTCCGGTGAATGGCCTTTTGTTTCTCCACGGTTCCACTATTGTTGCGCCTCTAACATCTGGTGGGGCTGCAGCGGAGAGGAAACCCCCTTTGACCGCTCGCGGGCCTTCGTCGCCGGCCTTTGCGCGGACTCGGGGTCAGGGATCCCCGCCGCGGAAGTAGGGGGATCGGGACTGGGCTAGGCCGCCCCACCCGGGGTTTGCGGTTAGAGGGCGGAGGGAAAGTTGTTTCTAACTCCGCCTCTGAGGCTGCTTGTGGCCCAGGGCGCATTTCTTAGATCTTATCCCCAACGAATCCCAGACGGGTGTCAAGCAGAGTTCTCGAAAGCCAGGAGATGTGCGAGAGGGTCCAAGGGACTTCCAGTGGTTAGCTAAGCGCGTGTGGATGGCCCATAACAGGGCGATGGGCGCGGGCAGGGCATCTCATCTGGACGGAAAGTTCAGGGGTGGCGGATTCTCAAGGGGCAGGCCCTTGATCACGGATGAGTGGAAACTGAGATAAACTGGGAAGGCTAAATACGGCCTGGAAATAGTGGTGTCGCGACTAGCTGTGAAATTTTCGTGGACTCCTGACTTCATCTACGGCTCCAAGTTTAAGTCCCAGATTTCTCTCAGCGATGTAGAGAAAGCAAGCCAGACTGCGCAGTAATGATGGCAAAGGCTGCCGGAGCCCTGGTCTGGCCTGAGAGCAGGTAGTTTGGGGTAGGCCCTGGTTGTCCAGAGGGGGCGCCTGTTAGATAGACTCTAGGAGTCGAGTTTCCCTGGAATTAATTAGGTAGGTGCTTAGACATAGTGCTGTTAGCGACTGTGGATTATTTATTAAGAAATGTTACAAGAGCTAGTTCCAGGACAGTCTCCAAAACCACAGAGAAACCCTGTCTCGAAAAAACCAAAAAAAAAAAAAAAAGAAATGTTGATGGGACGGGGAGATGAATGGGATCGAGACGCATGATGTGAAAGACACAGAGAATAAATATAAAGAAAGTTTTTTAAAAGGGAAGGAAGGAAGGAAATCTTGGCAAGAGCAAAGTTGCCTTCCAAAGCCGGCAGGAACCAGAACGGTTTCGCGAGGGTCGGCGAGAGCAGGTCTGTTTGTACACACCTGTAGGAACCACGCTTCTTGCCAGCCTTGTAGTTGTCCCGTTGCCAGTTTTTCCTGTGGGGTTCTCAACCTTAGTCTTTCTAGGAGATGCGATTTTCTGGCTTCTAAGTTTTGACTTATCTCCCCTCCAACTCAGAGGAGGAAGGAGGTTTTAAATGGGGCCCCCTGTGACCTCTGAACCTGTTCTACGTCCTTGCTCAGAGTGGGGCCTCAGCATGTTAAACAAGCGCTCTGCACAGAGCCGCAAACACACAGTCCTGGTTCAGTTCTCGGCCCTGCGCAAGTCTAGTTTGCCCTTTTCTAACTTTCTTTGAGAGATTGTTAACTCAAGAAGAGACTGTGGGGAGAAACTTTCCCCGCGATTTCTAGATCTTGCCAATGGGTGCCCGAAAAGAAAACCAGCAAATTTTCTGAAGTGCTCAAAACACTCTCTAAACGTTTTATAAAGGTAGGGACTCACAAGGTGAATTTCTCTGCAATTTAACAGGAGCAGCAGAGTAAGAAACAGGACCTGCCGAAGACCTGCTTGGGTTCTGTCTGCTCCGGGAGTACCAGAAGGCATGATTAAAGTTAAAGGCAGGACTTGGCCCCACTCTGTCAAGAAGCAAAATCCAATCATTCATTATACAGGAAAATAAGTGTACTCAGTAATTCTTTAGTTTTAGAACCAAAAGGCTTCTCCAAAAACTTACTGGAGGAAAAACAGAAAATTCACAGGTGAAAAGTTAAAAACTCTGTATGTCAAGCTCCAGTGAATATCAGTGTTATCTAATTCTTCCCTTGGAATCCGTATCTGGAGACATAGCAGGGCTGGTGCACTTCTTGGGCTGTTGAGGACTGCAATATTGTTCATAGTAAGCACGTGCCAGTTTATCCTCTCCCCAGCAATGTATAAAAGAAGCTACACTCTTCTTTCCCTCGGGCTTGGCATTGTCTTCCATTTCTGACCTGTTGATGGGGAGAAAGATTTTATCTCTGCCTTCTTGAGCACCTTTTAAATCAAAAGTGAGGGGAAAAAACCCTTTTTATATTGTCCACTAACATTTCTTTTTTTTTAAAGTTAAGTTTTGTCCAAAACATAACAATAAATAAAAATAAAAAATGAACTGACGCCTATGAGAGCGTCAGGAGACCCCTGCCCTGGATCAGGCGTACAGATAACGGACTTGGCAGTGTTGACAAACTTCTAGAGAGCCCGCTAACATTTCTTTATGTTTGTTTGTGCCCTTATACTTTGTGGTGCAATTGATCTCCTTTGATAACATGTACTCCGTGAAAAGAGTGTGGCTCTAACTTCTTTCTGTCCCTCTCTGTCAAACAATCAGTCCTGACTCTCCTCCTCTTCTTTTCTTGAAGGGTTGCGCCTCACACAGCTGTGCCTGTTCTCTGCCAATGAACTGCATTCCCACCCCACTTAGCCAGCTCTCTTCCCTGGCATAGAGCAAACCCAGGGCCAGGGCAGGGCAGCAGCTATATTTTACTTCAGTAGCTTCTGCCATCTCGGTAGAGCCCTCATAGAGGTCAGACGAAGGCATCAGAGAAACGAATGGGAAATACTATGTCTGTGTGTTGCTTTGCAGTTGCATGTCCTGCCTCCCTCCCCACTGCCACCATCCCAGTCTAAAGTGGTATAATTGATGAGCTGTTACACCAAATAGATTGTATTGCTCATTTTATTGTCTGATTCTTTTGCTGGTAACCTAAATGCCATAATCCACAAATTGTTTTGTTTTGTGGTGTTTTTTTTTTTTGTTTTTTTGTTTTTTTGAGACGGGTTTTTTTGTAGCTTTGGAGCCTGTCCTGGAACTAGCTCTTGTAGACCAGGCTAGCCTCAGACACAGAGATCCGCCTGCCTCTGCCTCCCGAGTGCGGGGATTAAAGGCGTGCGTCACCACCACCGGGCACTTGTTTTGTGTTTTTAATTTAACATTTCTTCTCCCTTTTCCACTGAAATTTGTCTTTTGTTTTACCGAAGGGCTTTCCTTGAGTATACTGTCTTGAACTTTGCACTTGAAAGGTCTTGAGCCTGGAGAGTTTAGCAACATGCAGGTAATAGCCTTAACATACAGCTAGCGTTTCTGAGTGCATCTGAGCAGTCATTTTCTGTTTAAATTCTCGCCTGAAGATGAATGATCTGAAATATGACGGGGGGGGGGGAGGAGAAAATTAATTTAGTCAGATGATAAGTAAAAACAGAAGAGTAAATAGTCCAGGCAATCTGGATACAAAGTAACTTTAAAAAGGTAAAAGTGGTCAAAGTTCCAAGTGTTATTGAAATGGCTAATTTACTTAACTGACAGCAAGTAACTTTACAACTAGGGAAATCGAACATGAATGCAAAAGTCTCCTATAATGTGACTCCAGATATTCACTCTAGGTGCACGGGTGAAGGAAACCACCCACTAGGAGAAACTGTCACTAATGTCTCCAGCATTTTCTAGGCCTTCCCCTGACCCCCTGCTGCAGTTCTGATGAGTCGATCAAAGCGTCTTCTCCATGCTAGACAAGTACAGCCTACTACTGAGCTACATCTGCTTTCCTATATCTTTAAATATAGAAACCAAACAGTATATTCCAGACATGATGTATGTGCTGCGTTGGAGTCACAGGCTCTCAAGCAGTAAGGAGGAGCTTAACGATCAACTGATTCAACCTTCCAAATTTCACTATGGACCTTCCATACTTTTAGAACAACAACTTACCATTCTTTAAACTGGGTCATTTCAAAGAAACCAAACTGATAAACGATCTCAACATTTTTTTTTCCCCTCTAGAAAGCAGGTGATATAAGAAAGGAAAGGTTTGAGTCTATAGATTGGGTATAGGCTGTTAACGTGGTGAACGTTCATAGAATAAAAAACCTTGGTAGCCCAGGAGATGGTTTGTTGAAAGGTCACCTTTTCAAACCTCCTCTGCTCAATATCTGCTAACTTACTGTCTGGGTAACTTTCTGAGATGGTACTTAGAGGAAAGCCAATAGAAAATGGCCAAAGGAAAGTGGAAGAGAGAGATGGAAAGGGAACCCTGCTGCTTTCAACCTGGCTTCAGTACTTTCTAAGAAAATTCCTGGTGTCACCCAGGTGCTGATTAACATGGCTAAGTGTTGCCTCTTCTTAAAGAGGTGA